TACGAATTACGTTTTTTTTTTTTTAACAAAAAGATTTTTAATTAGATATTTAAATATTAAATTATTTATTTATTTATTTATTCATCACGAATTTCTACAAAAATAAAAAATAATAATAATAATTTTTATTTATTTATTAATTTTTTTTCTTTATATTTTCCGACGCGATTTCCATTTTAATAAAATTATTATTATTATTATTATTATTGTTAAAAAAAAAAGGGATGATTTTTAATGTAATAAACTATAAACAATTTGAATGGGATGTTTTTTAATTTTTTTCTGCAAAACTACTCACTCGTTTTTTTTTTATGATAATTAAATTATATTAATATAATATTACATTTTATTATTATTATTATTATCACATTACTCGAATAATAAATAAATAAATAAATATGTACATAAACGAAGACTGCAAAAAAAAAAAAAAACCATAAAAACCATACTTTATTTAATTTAATTGTTTTCTTTTTTTTTTTTTTGCAACATAAAATGTTTTGTTGTTGTTGTTGTTTAGTTAAAATCGGGTAATTAATTATTTTATTTATAATAATTCATATTTTAATTAATTAAGTATCATCTGCTTTTAAAAAAAAAAATGTATTTAAACTCGAACGAGTCATAAAAAAAAAAAAAAAGAAAATTTTATTATAATAATAATAACACGCGATCAAATGGCCGATTTTATTGTTTTCTATATCGATCTGTATAAATTTATTTAGTGCGTGCGTGTGTGCGTGCGTGCGTGTGGGTAAAAGTGCAAAATTCGAAATTATTATTATTAATAAAAAAAAATTTTTTTTAATTTTTTGTAGAAAATGAAAAAGGATTGTCCTCGAGACATTTGTACTTGCATAATGAACAACATTGTTTGGAACACGGAAAAAACTCATTTGATTCCAGTGATAACGGTTAATTGTTCCGATAGCGGAATCGTTGATTTACCAAGAAAATTACCCGTCAACACGACGACTCTCTTGTTAAATAAAAATAACGTAACCGATATACAACCATTGATACATAATAAAATCTACGACAACATAATTGATGTTTATTTAGATTATAATCATGTTAAAAACATTGATTGTTTAGAAGGTTCCACGTGGTTGAAAAAATTTCGAGTATTAAGTTTAAAAGGAAATCATTTGACTCAGGTACAGAGGTATATGGGAGGAATGAAGAATTATAAAACGTTCACGACAATGCCATGATGATTTTTTTTTTTTTTTTTTTTTTTTTTCAGATACCTGTTTACGCATTCGATAACGCATTCGAAAAAAATGTCAATATGGCTAAAATATATTTGGGAAATAATCCGTGGAAATGCGATTGTTCTTTTACACCGGATTTTCAAAATTTATTAATTAAATATAGAAATTTGGTTAAAGATGGAGATGATGTGACTTGTTCGACAAGGGAAAACGATGAAAATTCTAATTTAAAAGTAATTTTTTTTTTTTTTTTAAATTAATTTATTACACGCGTCCGTCGCTATGCTTTACTCTCATTATTATTATTATTATTAAATTTTAGATTACGTCACTATCGACGAATTCGTTATGTCGAAAATTCGATCATTCTATTAATCCTTTGGATGTTTTAAGTATAGTTTTTGCATGTTTGACTTTTTTAATTATGTCTAAATTATTATTCGATTGGTGGATATTTAAAAAAACTGGAAAACTTCCTTGGATAGCGACGAAAATGCCTTGGTAATTTAGAAAGAGAGAGAGAGAGAGAAAATGATTTCCTCACGTAAGTATTAATAATAATAATTATTTTTAAAAATGGAGAGAAAATAACGCGCGCGTTTTATGTTTTTGTTTTATTAAAAAAAAAACTAAAAAAGTTTTATTATTATTATTATTTTACAAGTGAAAATATTTGTTTAAAAAGAAAAGAAAATTTTTTTAAAGCAAACAAACACACATTTGAGAAAATTCTAGTAAAATATTTTTTAATGATATTCAAATATATATCGTGCGTGCAATGAAAATTTTTAAAAGATAAATTTTTATTTAACGTACTAAAATTGAGAGGGATAACCGGAAGATGTTTATTTTACAAGTTCTGAACAAATTCTGAACAAGAAAAAAAAAAAAACAATCGAAATACGGACGATTTTCACACACACACACACGCAAATGTTTTAACGAAACGTACACTCGTACACTATGTAAGGATACGTAGAAATATAAGAAGACGTACGGTTTTATAAATAAATAAATACGTAATTAAATTAACTTATAAAAAAAAAATTATCGTTTTTTCTTTTACGTTTTCTTTTTTTAATTTTATCTTCCTTAATAAAAAAAAATACAAATTTGTTATCATCGTTTTTTCTCTTCCCCCGGCTCCTCGTTTAATTAATATCCTTATTATTATCATCATCATCATTATTATTATTTATAATAATAATAATAATAATTAAAAAAAAGTCCAAGATCGCGACTTATTATTGTATTCTTCCGCGTATTGAATAAAATTAATCTACTTTTTTTTTTTTTGTATGTTTCGCATGAGAGCGTTTATTTGTTTTGTTTTGTTTTTTTATTTAAATAATAATAGTAATAATAAATAAATAAGTAAATAAATGAAAATATTTTCGGGCTAGCTCGGACATTTTTGCGATGATTTATCCCACAGCGTCGCCGTCAGATGTTCCATAATATAAGTTAATTTGTATATTATTTTCTGGAAAATAAAGGAAAAAATAAAAACGTTTACGTTCGATTAGTTTTTACGATAATAATAATAATAATAATAAATAGAAAAGTCCCTTTAAAGATTTTCGAAAATACACGCGAGTGGAGGGAAGGGAATGGAAAAGAAGGGAAGGGAACGGGAGTGGAAAGTTTAAAATTTTACCAAAAAAAAAAAACTTTTTCCCTTTTTTTCTTTTTTCTTTTTTTTTGCAAGTTTTTTTTTTTTGTAGATAGAAAAAAAAAATTTTGTATATATTGAAAAATTTTACAATGAAAACTAATAATAATAATAATAATAATAATAATAATAATAATAATAATAATAATAATAATAATAATAACAATAAAAATCGCTCAAAGGAGGTAATCTCAAAGGAGGTAATTTGAAGAAGATTTTTCCATTTTTTTTCTTCTGTGGGTAAAAAATGAAGGAAAGAAAGAAATTTAGGAGAAGGTAAAAGAAAAAAGAAAAAATTTTTTTATTTTTGTTTTTTTAAATGTTGGAGGAGGAGTCGGGGAGGGGAGAGAGAGGAAGAAGGAGGGGCGAGGGGGGGGGGCTTGGAAAAGAAAAGAAAATTTTAACGTATTGCTATGAAAAAAATTTTTTTTAGGAAAAGAAAGAAAGAAATTTTTTAAAATTATGTCGGAATTATCGTCGTCGTCGTCGTTGTTGTTGTAATCGTAGTAGTAGTGGTAGTAGTAGTAGTAGTAGTAGTAGTGGTGGTGGTAGTAGTAGTAATAAAAACTAAAAATAGTAAAAACAATAATAATTACCAAAAAAACAAATTTTAATACTCCTAAAATAAAATTAATTGATGCCACGAGCGGATCGATAATCATAACGAGAAAATGTAAACATTTTTCCATGAATATAATGACGGCAGCTCCAGCAGCCATTGTTGCAACAAGAGACACGATGGCTAATACTTCTACAAGGCGTACAGCCACAGGCATTTCGATATTTATTCATACGCATACATATAATAATTTTCCTTTCCTTTCCCTCTTTTTTTCCCACCCCCTCCCCCTCTCTTTTCCTCAACAACAACAATAATAATAATAAGAAAAATTAATCTTTATATATATATATAATACGAGAATTTATAGGTTAACTTGTTTACATCGAATAACCAAAATTTGTTGTTTTTTTTTTTTCATATTCAAAATAATAATAATAATAATAATGATGATGAATCGAACTTCCGGAAGTTATAAAAAAATTTTTTAAATTTAAATATTTTATTCTCTAATTCTAGAAAATTCTGTTTTTTTTTTTTTTAACGAGTTTTTTTCCTCTTTCGAAATGATATTTTTCTTATTTAAATAATAATAATAATAATTAGTATTAATAATTAAAAGAAGAAGAAAAATAAGAAGAAACTGAAAAGAAAAAAAAAAAAACGTGGCATATTTATATGACAATAAAAAAAATTTTTTCGTTTGGAAACTGGGGGTAAAAAAGTAATAAAAAAAAAAAAAAAAAAAACTAAGTTTTAAGTTTTAAACGAAATAAATTTTTTATAAAACTTTTAAATGGTTTTTTTTTTTTTTTTAAATTAACCTTTAATATAAAATAATAATAATAATTTTCTCTCTCTCTCTCTCTCTCTTTCTCTCTCTCCCTCTCTCTTAATAGAAAATGATTTTCCGGTAAAAAAAAAAAAAAAACAAACGTGAGAAAAATTATTTAAATGTAATATTATTGTCATTTTTTTTCTTCCTTTTTTCTTTACTTTCTTTTCATTTTATGCTTTTATATTTTCATTCTTCCTCCCCCTTCCCCTTCCTTCCCCTTTTTTTCTCATCTCCTTCTTCTTCTTCTTCATCTTTTTCTTAATT